GAAGGGGAGAAAGGGCTTTGGGGAAAAACAGCCCTGGGTACCACACGGAACTCATGAGATACTCTTTGACCATCCTTGCTTTAGAACAATGTGGGATATTTCAGCGGATATGCAATAAGAACTGAAAATCAAGCACTTTGTCTTTACTGAACATAAGCACTTTCATTTAACACAAAACCAACACTGGATTCAATGGTAGGTATAAAAATATAAAAAGCAAAATAGCATATTCTATTTTTCATATCTTGTAACACTTTTTTCTAGAGAAAGCAAGGGAAATGTAATATTTTGAATGTTGATCCAGGACTCTGGGAAACTAAGATTTGACTCATCAAATGGAAATCCATTTTGGGTAAGATACATTCTGTCATCCACTGCAGAAGGCAATGGCAAACCTCCCCTAAATAAATCTTGCCAAGAAAATCCTATGATAGAATTATCATAAGTCAGAGCCAACTGGAAGGCATAACAACAAGAACACATTTCCTAAGTATGAGCTAAACATTGAGCTAAGCTTTATAAAAAGAATGACTGAAGTAATGAAGCTACACACATATGCAATGGCTTCAAACAGTTCTTTAAAATGCAAGGCTCTCTCCTTGCTAGATGACTTGCTTCCACGTTGAGCACGCTCTGTCCAAAACTGAAATTCATCATTTGGAGAAAGTATTGCTGTAAAAAAAATCCAATGGATACAACATTTCAGAGTTACTTAGGATTTTCTGATTTTTTAAAATAATTATCAAAGAATTCATAATTTGACATGTGATCCTACAGTGCATTCATGTTTATTTGGAAATCTGTAATAGCAAAAGATGATATCTGTGCAAGATGTAGCTTGAAGACCATTAAACCTAGATACTTTATACATGGTATGCATACTGAGAGGATACTAGAGGTATACATCGAGAGATGTTATGGTTTGTAAAATACATTGATGAACTTAAATGTGTCTATGTCAAAAGCCTGGAAAATGAGTTGCAGAGTACTCTTCAGTAACTACATAACAAACTTCCTTAACTTTCAACCAATATAGTTTGAAACTACTTAGGAATAGCAAAAAGATCATAGTTATAGGACTTGCCTCTGCCAATACCATAGGGAAAACTGCCACATGGAAATTGTGAGTACAGGCCCAGTGCTGTCTCACAGAGCAAACGGGATGAGGGTGGGAGGTGGACCTCACTCTCTGGGAACATGAGCTGCCTGTTCAGCCTATATACTTAAGGACTGGCATGTCCTTTAGGAGCTCCAGAGGTGCACCATGGCAACAGGAATGTCTCAAGGTTCCTGAGCCTGTCTTTTAATTTAAAACCGGAGAGGCACAGTGCATCCAACACTGTAGTCTTGCTTGAAGGTTTCAGTACATCAAACTAAGGGCCATGCTAACCTGTACAAAGCTGGGCACTTTCACGACAAGTCACTGAGGGTTAACTAACTGTGACGTCAAGCCTTACACTATAATTCTGTAAGTAAAGCAGCTATGTTAATCTGTTGCAGCAAAAACAATAAAGTATCTGGAGGAATATTAAAGACTTTGGCATACAATTTAGTGGACTATAGTCCACTTTAGCAGGTATAATTCTGCTCACACTTATTTAAAAGCGAGCTCTATTGAAATGAATACTTACAATTGATGCTCAGAATTACAGATCCCTGTATCTTACCATTTTTCAACAAGCAGGAAGCTTTAAATACCTTGAACATCATCTTCCCGATATTTGGTGCCTGTGGAAGAAGTATCAGTCCTCTTCAAAACAGAACCTAAACCAGCTTCTAGCTCCCGTAAAAGATTCTGGAGTTTGGGATCAAAATCTCTACTCCATTTTTCATCCTGCAACAAAGATTTCAAGAGCTATAATTCTCATATTGCAATTGGATGCCATCTTCTTAATACAGTACTAAGACTTTTATGACTAAACATCACATATTAATCAAGGCCAGCACATGAAGAACATGTAGAGCTGAACATGTACATATGTTCAAATAGCCCCATTTTTGTTTTGTTCATAGAATCATAGAATCATAGAGTTGGAAGAGACCACAAGGGCCATCCATTCCAACCCCCTGCCATGCAGGAACTCAAAATCAAACCATCCCCAACAGATGGCCATCCAGCATATGTTCAAAGACCTCCAAAGGAGACTCCACTACACTCTAAGGGAGTGTGTTCCACTGTCGAACAGCTCTCAATGTCAGGAAGTTCCTCCTAATGTTGAGGTAGAGAGTGCAAGGCACTGTCTTGGAGCCAGGGAAGGGGAGGAGCAGCCGGACGCCGGACACCCCAACCCCTTCTCAAGGATGTCATCAGAGCATGCACTGCTGCACACGGCAAGCACTCTGATGACGTCCTCCCAGCACAGCATTTTTACACACTGCACCAGAAAAGGTGCAAAAGAGCCGCATGGTGGTTCTCCCGGTGCCCTTTTTGCGGCTTGGGAAAGGAGCACTATTTTGGCGCTCCTTTCCCAGTCGCTAAAAGGGTGGATTGGGGCCGAGGCAGGGGTCAGCCTAGGCTCAAATCCTCCGCTTCTCAGGGCGGCCCATAGCCGCCCATCTGCATCCCCCCCTTAGTTGCCCTCCTCTGGACATGCTCCAGAGGACTTTCCAACTTATTTAATGCTGCTAAAATCAAAAGAATCCACTCTAATCTCTTTTCCTTTCTTTCACATTTCTTTTTCCCCAACTCCTCTTCCTTCAATACTTCAACTCAATACTTTCCTCACTCCTTCATCTCATTTGATGAGGGAACTATTCTGTTGCTCTCATCATATCATTTCCCCTGACCTTAGTCCATCCCCGAACTCTTCACTGCCATCCCTCTAACCACTGTCTCTTCCCTACATCCCACATTTAACCTCTAGCTCCAACCTACTGTATCAGATACTACTGCCTCTCCTCCTTCCAAGGAATCAGCTTGAAATCCATATTTTCAAATCACGACATAGTTGGGAAACATTGTAGTGAAAAAAAATGGTATAGTGAAATAAGAGAATGTAGTCACTATGGGATGTGAATAAATCCTACAAATTCTCACCTTCAGCAATACTGGTGCAAATACTTGCCGCACTGCTTGATAAAGCATATTAACAGGAGAATCTAGCATAGATGATACAAGAATATTGCTATGAAGGTTATCTTCTGTAATAACATCTGGTCGTAGCTTGAAGAATACTAACATTTTATCTTCTGAATTACCAGCTTCAACCTGAATGATGAAGAAACACAAATACTGACATGAATGTAAAACAGCTTATTACTACTGTCAAAATATTTAAACATTACCAAAACTACAGTAAGTAGTGTGCCAAGATTAAACTAATATGTTTCCTGCTCAGATGTTCATAGCCAACATGATAAAACTGGAAGAAGAAGGAACAAGGGCGAGGAAAAGAAGTCTATTAATTGGTGATCTTATCACTGCTATGACATTATCAGAAATCTTATCACTGCTATGACATTATCAGAAGAATCATGTAGAAATGTGCATTTTAAATCGTAAAGGAAATCATAAATCATAAAAGGAAAGACTAAAATAATATGTGATGGCAGAACATCTAAACCAAACAGTTAGAGAAATCACAGGGACAGACGTCTTGATACAGAGCCTAGCATTGGACGAGGAGAGGAAATAAAGGGGAAAATATAGAGAAAGCGAAGAAAGTACTGCCCTGGCTAGCAGCAACTCCACACAGTTTCAAACAGAATTTTTCCCTAGTCCTGTGTTGACATCTCTGGTATTCCTCCATTGTAATTTCTCTGCCTAATACTAGCCAGCTTTGACTCTTCTTAGCTTCTAAAATCAAGCAATAACAGGTTTCTATAGGGTAGTATGGAGGGAGACATACTTTTATATTCAAATGTTGCTTGATAATTCCACTAAGTTAAAAGACTAAAAACAATGGCATTTTGTATGCCATACAGTTTATTCCAAAGGTTTAGTCATTCAATTTTTATGACCTACTTTTTTAAAAAGCAAAATACCAATAGTTCTCTAAACTGTTTTAAATATGCAGATCAAGTGGAGAAAGGATTTCTTAAAAGTACAACTAATTTGTTAAATAATCTTGAACAAAGATAAAGAACATTGGTGGCTGTCTTATACTAAACGTTTATAGATAGAGCTGATTTCCTCCCTACACACAGACACCTTCACATACTTTTACAGCATACAGTATTAACTTCTCCAGTATCAAGCTGAGGTATTTCCCCACTGTTTGCTACCTCATGGGGTTTTTTTTTACTTTTTTATAATGGAGATGTAAGGATTCCTATCTAAGATACACTTCCCTGGATCAGATCAAAGTCTACTGAGTTTCATGTTTTTTAGCAAGAGCCCCAACACAGAGAAGGAAATAGGTAAAAAGGACAGTAGAGACGTATCCAGCTTCTATCATTGCTGACACACTAAAAATACATTAAACTGTGGAAACTTATTCTAGCAAGTATCATTGCTGTGCAACACTACCTCAGGTATTTCAGTAGACCTATTACAGAATCCTAATGCCTAAATCCAATGGTTAATCCCAGCTAGAGTAAATGAACAGAACCTTTTGGAATTCTGTAAATGCTGATTTACCATTCATTAGATTCAAGCGGTTTATTCTAACCTGGATTAGAGACTGGAACTATGCCTGAGTCCTTCATATACACTAAATGAACAAATACACACTATCATTCTATTAAAAAAGGGTGCTGACCCAAGATAATTTTGTCTTGTGATTTTCCTAGTCCAGGAGCGAGAATCCTGAGACTTTCCAGATGCTATTACCATTTGATAGCAGTAGCTGTGCTGGTTTGACTAGCTGGAAATTGCAGTCCAGCAAGATTTGGCGTGTCACATGAAACCTCCCCCTGTCCTAATTCATGCAGCATGTGAAGGGACTTCATCACACACCCAGCACTATGGTTTATTTGAATGACCAGAGGAGCTATCTGTATATGTAGTGTATTGGTAAAAGAATGCAGATTTATTTAAAGTACTTATCCTGCTCTTCGAGGGCTAGTGTGGTGCAGTGGTTTGAGCATTGGACTACGACTCCCGAGACCAGGCTTTGATTCCCCACTTGGCCATGAAACCCACTGGGTGATCTTGGGTAAATCACATGCTCTCAACCCAGGGGAAGGCAGTGACAAACTTCCTCTGAACAAATCTTGCCAATAAATCCCCATGATAGGGTCCTAGAGTTGCCATAAATCAGAAATGACTTGAAGACACACAACAAAGAACCCTACTCTTCAGCAGAAAAAACTTCCAGAGCAACTTATGTAAACTTGCTTACAATCAAAAAGACACAACATAAATGAGAAACAAGGTGAAAAAGAAAAAGGAAAATACAAACTCAGGCATATGAATCTTAATCCAAAACACACTGTAGAAATAATCCAGTTTGAGATTGCTTTAACTGCCCTGGCTCAATGCTAGGGAATTCTGAGAACTATAGTTTTGTGAGACATTTAGCCTTCTCCGTCAGAGAGCTCTGAAGCAACAATAAACTACAATTCCCAGAAGTCACTAGCACTGAGCCTGGGAAGTTAAAGCGATCTCAAACTAGATTATTTCTGAAAGATGTTTTGGACCATAGTTCCCATTTCATTAAACTCAAGAAGAAGAGGGGCTGTCTGTCAGTAGGGCTGACAGAAGGGCTCTAATTGTATCTCCCATCTGGATGTAACAGTTATACTGTCTCTATCATCTTTTAAAACCTACAGGAAACATGTTGTTGTTTTTTCTTGAAGATCTGTGCACAGTTGTAAAATAGGCAGGTGATGAAAAAAAATCATTGAAAAAGGAAAATCATAATCTGTCAGATTTATATCATGCAGCCTGTGGAAAGTACTACAGCCATGACAGAAACAAACTTACACATTAGTAATACATATCAAATTTTAAAAAAACACAGACACAATTACCACCTCCTCAGCATCCACTTCCCCACACATCAATCCTCAAATGGATTTCCAAATCATGCAAGCCTGCCACAAAGTTGCACCTGAGCTTTCAGAATGTAACAAGTTACATTCCTAGGAGAATGCACCTTTACATGTTTACTTGGAAATAACAGAATTTGGTTCAATTGTATTTTAATATTATAATGTATTTTATACCTGCATTTTAATTTGTTTAATCATGATGTCAGACTTCCTGAACCAAACCCCTGGGAGAATAAAAATTGAGTACCAGTAAGTAAATGACAACCTCACAAGTATATAATATCTATTCAGAAAGGTCTCGTCTGTCAGCCAACAACCTAGAGTACAAGATGGTACCTTATTGGAGACACGAATCTGATCTTCTGAATGCTGCACACACAAAAGAAACTCATTGCCATCATCCAAGAAGTTGGCAAGCTCTGGGCTCGAAGAAAGAGGAGCAAGGCTGGTAAATGATGACAGTCCAAAGTAGTTTGCTGCAGTGGCTGAAACGAAGATCTTCCTCTTATCTCCATCCCCATCTCCATCCAGAGGCATGATACCAGTTGAGTCTCAGGATCAAACTGGAAAAACAAAGAAAGCAAATCTGTAATAGAGTTAAAGCTGATTTTCCTATAAGGAAAGAGACAGAGAAAAGGAAACTACAGTCATCCCTCCACGTTTGCGGGGATCTGTTCTGGACACCCCCACACAAATGGAAAAAAACATGGATATTCAAGCCCCATTTATTTTAATGGCGGTGCTCCATTTTATCCCTCCTGGCTTGCTGTCCGCAAAGGATCAAAACCATGGACTACAAGTCCCAGAACCAGGAGGGACAAGTGTATAGTGGGCCCTTGGTATCCGCTGGGGTTTGGTTCCATGACTTTCGCTGGATACCAAAAATCAGTGGATATTCAAGTCCGTTTAAATACAATGGCAAAATCAAGTTTGCTTTTTGGAATTTAGATTGTTTTGGAATATTTTCAAGCCATAGACAACTGAATCTGTGTACAGTCGCCCCTCCATTTTCGCGGATTTGAAGTCCGTGGTTTTGCATATTCACGGAGGGACTACCTCCATTTAAATCAATGGGGTGCACCCTATTCAAGCCTATGGGGCTTGAATATTTGCGAATCTCCGTTTTCGTGGGGGGTCCAGAACAGATCCCCCACAAAAACGGAGGGCCAACTGTATAAAGAAAAGTGGATATGGAGGATTGACTGTATTCCAAGAAGATATAGTGGGCTCTTGGTATCCACTGAAGTTTGGTTCCAGGACCCTGCCATGGATACCAAAATCCACAGATGTTCAAGTCCCATTAAATACAATGGCATAGTTAAGTTGTGTCCCTTATATAAGATGGCAAAATCAAGGTTTGGTTTTAGGAATGTATACCTTTTTTCAAATATTTTCAAGCCATAGATGGTTGAATCTGTAGATAAATAATCGGTGGCTATGAAGGGCTGATTGTATTTCCAGAGTGTAGCTGGGTATCACCACTTTTACACCCATCTCCCATAGCTTGGATCCCAGTTGGGCTTAGTGATCCTTGCTAGGACACCAGGTGAAACCCTAAGGCTGGGGGGGTGACAACACTCCTCCTCAAATACCTTTGGCAGAAACGGGTTGTGGCATTCACCTGCTTACCTTTAAAATGCTTGAAGAGATGGTGGGAGTGGGGTGAAGCTCAGTGGGAGGGCAAAGGAGAGACCCCAGAATTTTTTAAAATTATTTTTTTAAAAAAAAAATTAAAGTGTTTTAATTTTTAAATTTATTTTTTAAATTTTCTTTTAAAACGTCACATTTCAACCAAATCTTCAGTATGTATAAGTAAATACATTTAGGTTGTGTGCATGATATTGTAATTTGAAAGTATAATTTCAATTTTGCTAATTGTTTATGTCAAATTAGCATTACATTCAGTGGTATACAGGAATTACAATTTACGAGTAACGTGAATGCAAAAAAGCTTCTGAAGGATTCTACATGGCGTGAAATGGGAGGAGGTCAATGGGAGGGTGACACTATGAGTTACGGCCTTTCTTTATCCTGTCCATTCTGAATACTTCCCACTACTTTGAAACTGGGAGTGATTTCACTGTGAAATCATAGTTCAAAATTAAAAGATCTAAAAATTTAAAAGACTGCAACATAGAACCACTTCACATTTTTGGAGACAGAACAATGGAAGCTTTTGTTACCCATCATCAGTAGTATTTTTAAGTATTGTGTTACTCAGATTAAAACAAACTATGTTGTA